TGGAAAAGTCATTTTTGAATCTCCTATAACAGTCGACATGTCCAAGGAAACTTCTAATTGCCTTCATGGAAGTAAGAGGTGGTAGCTTCTCAATAGCCTCAATTTTTCTACGAACACTATTCCTTTCGCGGATATGTGATGATCTTGTTAGAGTAGGTGTCCTAGAGCCAATCATAATCTTGTAATTGACTCTTTGTATATCATATTTATTCATTAATAAAGGCAAATTTCTATGGATTTTTAAGGAGCCAATGGACCAACTATTTCTCGTGATGGAATAACCGTTAACGACAGTGGAACGACCGTTCACGATGGTGGAATGCCCATTCCTTTAGGTACTGCAGTTTTTTAGAGTTGCATTAAATGTAGCAACGACTCTTTACTTTAAAGGAAAAAGACAAGCAATAAATAGAGCATTTTATTACCAAGAAAGACATAAAGAATATCAAAGAAATAGAAGCCTTATCAAAAACCTTCTCCCATAATCCCTTGGGCTAAAAATCCAAATCATTTATCACTCACTTGGACTCATATTGAAAACCTTTGAGAATATTATTCTTATTGTGTGTTTAAGCCTAGTACAAGAAACAATCATTCACAAGTTTTTATTCAAACATCTTGTGGATGAAATCTTGACAAACAATTATAAGAGGGGAAATCATGTCAAACTAGTGTAAAGGGTGCAATCCGACTCTAGTAGAACTTCAAGAAGGTTGTCTTGAAGAAGTAGATGTAACAGACTTGTGGATATAGCATCGAACCACTATAAGTCTTTGGGCATTTCTTCTCTCTCAACTCATTTATTATTCCTTGCGTATTTACTTGAACATCATTATTACTTACTTTCATTCATTGCTCATATTTATTACTCTCTCATTTATTGTTCACCATTATTTATCTTCATTGTTCATAATAATACTCATTTATTGCTTATCATTATTGTTGTTTTAAGTTTTTAACTTGTATGGTTGGTGAAAGTTTCTATTTTGCAATTATTTTTATGGACTCCTATTCACCCCTCTCTAGGAATAGTTTGCTACATAGAGTTTTACAAAATCTATGTGGGTATGAGAGACTACATCCTATTACATAAAAAACATAGATACATGCATTTATCCTCTAAGGAACCATGACCAGCAAATTATATATATATATATTAAAATTTACCATAAAATCATGATAACAACATAATAAAACCTAGAGTGCCATTCTCACTAAATAATTAAATTCAATGCAATAGGAGAAAAATTGATCAATTAATTTATCTGCGCTGAAAACTTTCCTATTCAAAACTTAACAAAAAAAATAGAATCCAAACTCATGATGCTAGAAACAATAAATTTAGCTTAACCAATTACCTCTTTCAGATTGAATCATGCCTAGAGAAGCTTCAAGATCACGCCTAGAGAAGCCTTAAAACCACGCCAAAAGAAGCTTCAACCAATCGGTCTTCTTTGCTATCCTCAATCCTTTAAAAACCAATTATTTGTGTGTCGGCACACTTTGGATGGTTTGATGGTTTTATAAGACCGGCCTTCTTATTTTCTCACGAAGAATTCCTAGAATAAAAAAACTCAATTGAGTATTTTAGTCACTCAAATATATCTTAACGAGAGCGTTTGAATCATATAATATTTTATTATAAGGGAATATTATATTAACAAAAAGAAATATCATTTTGAAAATTACTAAGAATATTTAGAAAATGTGTTTGGTTGATTTGAATAAATTGGTACATAATATGTTTGGTTGGAAGGATAAATAGATGGGTATGTTATATAGATTACTAAATTACTCTCCTTTTTAAATATTAATATAATAGCATCTTTATTATTATTTTTTAAATAATTTCTTTTAATTCCTTACATTTGAAATTTTGTTAAAACACTCCAGCCATATAAAACTTTAATTTATACCAAAATCACCCCCACCCACCCCAAGCCACTACCAATAGCCAGCCACACTGCCAGCAGCCGACGGCAGTCGACAGAATGGCGCACAACTAGCCGTATATGGCCGGACGTGCACCGACAAAGCCAAAAATGACCATAGATCACAAATCTATGGCCGAAAAACAGTCAGATCTATGGCCATTTCACAGCAAAAGATCTTGCTGGTTGACCAGATCTTGCTGGTCGTGCACCATTACACTGACGCTAACGGCCGGTGGTGGTGAGTCATGGTCGACGGAGGTCTTGAGTGGCTGGAGATATTTTGTTAATTTTTAAACTTTTTTGTGGCTGAGGGGTTTTAACTAATTTCTCAAATATAGGAGGGTTGGGTAATTGTTATTTGGCTGACATTTGAGGACAATTGTGTCCAAAATGATTTTTAATAAAGGACAAAATAGGTAGAAAAATCATATTATCATGATAAAAGATTACTGTAATATTTTATTACTTGCAAACCAAACACCGAAATCTTGTAAAATAAACGAAGATTACCCCCGTTATCTTATATACCCTCAATCCAAATGGCCCCAATAAGATATATTTATATTGGAGACTTAGAATCATTTTTCCCCTTAGATACGAAAAAAAAAAAAAATCATCTTCTATTTTAATTAAAGAAAAATTCGTCCAAGAAAATATCTAATTAAAATAAATTTATTTAAAATCCAAGATAATATGAATTAATATCTCGTAACAAGATCCATAATTCAAATACAAAAATATTTGAATTAAATATGTCATAACTCATAACAACGTCTATAGTTCAAATATATAAATATATTAAATATCTAATTAAATCAAGCTGAGTTCCATGTTCCGAAGATGAAGGATTCCAGATCAAATTAAACACATATGCAAAACAAAACTTGAACTCAATAAATAAAACAAACCCAACCCACTAATGCCGTCTTAAAGATTTTTGATGCCCGTCCCTGATTGCGTCTTGGTGGCCGTTGCTTGTATGCATGACAGTGTAGAGTCTGTAGACAAGCCCACCGCCAGCAACGACCACCAAAATCACCAGAGTCTAACCAATTGTTGGACCTTAAATTTTTTTTTTTTTTTTTTTTTTAAAATTCTGTCTGAAAGACTTTATTATTAATCGCTTTTAAACTTTTTTTTTATATATTTAAATAATCTAATTCATAAACAGTTTTATATTTATTTTAATTAATAAATTTACAAATAATCTATTACTAAATTTAATCCAATTTACTTCTATCAATTCCCCTACAATCCAATGCCAAACAATCAATCTTGTCTTGAGTGTAGCACAAATCCCAAACTTGGTATAACATAGTATTCTTAGGAGGTATTTGTTTGAGGGTTATCTCTCATTATTGAAGTAATGTCATTTTATATTATTTATATTATTACATTTGATTGTCAAATAATATAAGAAACAATATAAGATTTCGATAATCTTTCAAAACCAACCATAACTATTGTTGATTATATAGGTGGTAATCTGCATACTTCTCTTTTTTTAGATATTTTAAGATTATTTAGTGATCTTAATTTTGTTACAATTTTGCTCTTAACTAGTAAAATTTTTAAACAATAATGCTCTTATTTTGAAATTAATTCACATGAAACTATCATTACAATTTTACCCTTAATTAATTAAGTTTTTTGACAAAAATGCTCTTATATTTATACAAATTAGTTAGGACCATTGCCACCTACCAGCCACCACCACTTTTCCACCAATGCCCACCGTCGACTGTTCTCACCGGAATGGCCCACGATCGGCCGTATCTAGTCGATCGTGCGTCAATCTAGCCAATTCCGGCCAAATCGATGACTGGAAACAGTTAAACAGCAATAAATCTGGTAAAAAACAGCCAGGTCTATGGTCGTTAACAGCCAGATCCATGGTTTTAACGACCACAGATCTGGCCGTTAACAGCCATTGATCTGATTGAAAATTGCTATAATAGATATGACTATTTTTGGTCAAATCCATGGCCATCTAGTCGTTTTTTGCCATTGATCTGATCGGAAACAATCAAATCGACGCATAGCCGACCAGACCTGATCGATCATGCACCGTTTTGACAACTAATGATGGCGACAGGCGATGGTGGCCAACGGTCGGTAGTGACTTGGGGTGGGTGGGGGGGATTTTGTTAGAAATTAAACTTTTATGTAATTAAGATGTTTTAGCAAGATCTCAAATGTGAAGGATTGAAAGAAATGATTTAAAAAATAATAATGAAAATAATATTATATGAATATTAAAAAAAAAAGGATAATTTAATAATCAATGTGTTTTAAAACCCAACCCCAGTTTAACTGAAACCCGAGACCTTCACCAGGCCGGGTTAACAATTTTCTTATTCACCCAAAACCTTAAAGTTTGGGATCGACGAACAATTGAAAGATAGTATGTTTGAGCTTTTGAAGAGAAAATATCAATGAGTGCAGTGGTAGCGACAGGATTGATTTTTGATGAGTTAATCGACCAAAAATCGAAAAACACTAGCAACAACAATAGCTAGCTTTTGCTAGCGATTTACGAGGTGAACAAAGGTGGAATGAGATGAGTTTTAGCTAAGAAGCTGAGGGAAGTATTTTCATGGTGATGAGAGAGTTCTTGGTAAGATAGCCAAAATCGATAAACATCAAAGTTGACAAGATCTAGCCAAAATCAATAGATCAACTGGATCTTGGATATATTTTCTAATATCGCTGACTTCTATTTAAGATGTTTATGCTAAATTTCAACTTATATGCAATTAATTATAATTTTTGTGTATTTACTAAATTTGAAACTTTTTCACACCCAGTTTGACCAACCGATCAGACCGATTAAGCCGATTAACCTAACACCTAGCAACTTGGCCAAGATTCACTCCAAATTAGTTATTAAAACATTTATTTATATAACATACCCACTAATTTATTCCTACTAACTAAACATATTAATATAACATATCCATCAATTTATTCAAACCTAACTAAATACATTTTCCTAAATATTTCTATTAATCTTCAAAATAATCTATCTTTCAATTAAAATAACATTTCCAATTAAACAATATTCCCTAAATCAAACACAACATTAATATAACTATAATATTCAGGTGAAATTATCAGAATGTCAATATATTTGCATAACATTGGGCATAGAGTACTAAAAATTCCGACTGCTGATGTACGATATACGTCATACGTAGAAAAAACAACTTGCTGCATCAATTTTCAGTACCAACTGATTTAAGTAACATGCAACTAATGAAAAGGCTTACTACTTAAGAGCACAGAAGTAAAAAAGAGAGATCCAGCCTATCCAACACATCCTTTCTTGCTTCCCAGCTTAGTTCCTCGATCTTCCTCGTGGAAATCCCATCCTTTCTCTGACATCTGATGAATTTTTCATCATCAAATGCTGTGTGCGTGGTGATCCAGATCTGTCGGCTACCACTCTCCCTAAGTTCTGTGATTGCTCCGTAGAAGGAAGTGACCAACCTCCCCGACTTGCCTGCTCATTCTGTCCGCTGCTACTTCCTCCTGCAACGCAAAAGGGTCATTTGACAAGCATATTTCACGACAGACATGTCTAGAAATTGCCAAAAGACTATCACAGTACACTGAAATAAAATATTGTATCAAATATTACAATACCCTCACATAAGTCCATTCAATATTATATTCTTAAAATACACACATAAAGCACAAGTAATATGTTTCTAACCTCAAATAACATCAAAGTGTTGTTTAAGCAGTTTCAACCTACTCCAGCCTCCTCACCAGCCATAGTTATTAATCTCATAATAAAATCTTTATACAACATGTCTCAATCAAATTTCCATTTTAATACTGTTAACCACATAATACACAGTGGAAAAGCTACATTTACATCAATTAGTGATCTGTTTGACAAATGAAATAAATAACAGCAATCATAATCTTAAGTTATTAACAGGTCTACTTTTCTTTGATCTTTCTGAAACACAGAAAAATGCTCTTCTTTTACTTCAGCCCCCCATGTAAGTTGCCCAAAGAGATTTGAGCTTTGGAAGTTTTATAAATCAACAACATAAACAAGTCTAAATAAGCAAGTCAACTTTGCTAATGACAATCAGGTAAGAGATTTGCACATTTGATACAGAAAGTGACACTCAATTCCACAAGAACACAAACAATGTAAAGTATGGCCAACATTAGCAGACAAAAAAAAAAAAAATATATTACATTCCAAGCCATGAAAACAATCTTACCCATTTTATTATGACCACTGAAACTACCGGTCCATCCAGGTAAGTATTTTCTTGCATTTCCATCCCAGGCTTCCTCGAAATCAGCAAGTTCATCTAAAAAATTCACACATTCAACCCTTAAATCAAGTTCATTGATCTTTTGAAAACCAATAATCCCAAAAGCTTTAGCAAGGTGTACGCCCCAAGTAGAGCATAATTAAGCATATAAAACACAAAATCTTACCAGTATACACTGGCAAAAATCCAAACGTATTGACAAAATGCAACAACAAAATATAGACCATACATAGCATATCAAACACAAAATTTTACTGGTATACACTTGCCAATACCCAAACATATTGACAAAATGGAACACAGCAAAACATAAACCATACATAAGATCACTACATACCTTCTTTCAGGTTGCGCAAAGCCTGGAGTGTATCCACCTTACCATCAGAATTAAGCTTTCTTGTAACAGAATGACCCTACAACAAAAATTCCCAACATTAAATTTTTGAAGTCACATGCAAATTGACCTGAGTATAGCTTAGATTTAATATATACTCCAGCAAGAAACCAAGAAAAAGAACAACAAAAAAAGATAAATAAAAAAAATCCAACCAATACCTTCTTGTTAAGTCCCCTTGAAATCTTGTGAGTTGCTTGCCTGGTAGTAGTATCAGCTTCTTTGCTTTCTTCAAATGTTACCTGTACCATATCATTGGCAAATATTAGGGAAAAATAGAAAACAACTAACCAAAAATAACCCAACTTTGTCATCATTATAATTACTCACACCATCACTTCCCGTCCTCCTTGTCTTAGAGGAAGTATAGTAAGCTCCATTGGCACCACCGTAAGTTACATTAGAGCTTGAAAAGGTGAAGCTATGAGCTTGGGGCGGCAGCTGCACACCGTTACATAGACTATAATCATTGCTGTATTGCAAATGCTTGTTCTTTCTTCCTGGAGTATAGAGGAAACGGCAGTTTTTTTCCTCAGACTTCAGCAATAATGAGCAGAAACGACACTAAAAGCGATTGAAATAACACAAATGCTATACCTTCAACTACATCATCTGGATCCTCAACAAAAGGCTCCTTACTAGACCTTCCATGCTTCCTAGGATTTTCTTTGTTCTCTTTAACTGCTTCTTCTTCATCAGAGTTAAGTTCTTCTATAACTAGCCCCCTTGACCTTTTGGGCTCTGGAGCTTGATGCTCAATAAAGGCAGATGGTTGCATATTTATCAAAGGACTTCCGGTATGGCCAAAGAAGTTCGACTCAAGCATACCACCAAAAGGTCTTGTGAAGAAGGGGTCATCAAATGGGTCCCTTCCGCCAAAGAAACTAGAGATTAAACTCCTGGGACCCCCAAAGCGATCAAAACCTCCAAAATTGGCAAAGGGATCACCAAAATCAAAGAAAGGACCCCTGCCTCCTCTCCCTCTTTGCATCTTCCCTCAGCTATAAACTTTCAAAACTAGCGAATGCAACCACAAAACAATGTTTAGCACATCAACAAGGTGTTCAACAGCCTTAGCGGTTTCGACAACAATTAGAAATGAGCACCGCAAAAAGTAAAATAACTAAAAGGGCTAAAAACCCTTCATGCATTCTAGGTAGCAGAGCGATACAATCATAACTAGATTATGACCCAACAATTCCTGATACTTAACAAGGAATAGAGATCAGCGAGCAACACCAAATCGAATTCATCACAAGAGAGCCATCAACAGAAACCCTAGTGCAACCAAAGAACACACTATCATATATTCTCTTACAGGAGGTTTTGTCCCAAGTCCTACAATCCAAAGAATCAACGGAAATACTCCAATCAAACTATCCCAGAACCCCACCTTCTAACTTTTTTTTTTTTTTTTCTCACCATGAAAACGGACGATAACAAATATAAAGGAACACCAAACATTATCAAAGGAAAAGGAAGAAAAAAGGACACAATTAAAGAACATTAAATTGGCGAGAAACAATTTTATTCAAGCTTAAAATATATATGATTTTCTTATAAAAAAAAAAAAAAAATTCTCAAACCATCAAAGACAAAATCGCTTCGAATTATATTAACTTGCCGAATTAAGCACATAACATAAAAATAAAAAATAAAAGAAGACAGACATACACAAGCGTTAAAGAAATAAAGAAATAGGTCGAGAGAGCACCTGTAAAGGAACAAGATGGAGAAACCCTAACTGCCACGAAAATTGAACGAGTTGATTTGAAAGGATGATTTATTTTTTTCTTTTCAGGGAAAGTAAGTCGGTGTTTGTTGTTGGGCTAAGAATAACAACTGCACTTTTTTAATAAATAACAAATTTCAGATATTTATTATATTTCACTGAAGAGATAAAGAGAATGGAAGATTCTCGACCTCCCCATAAAGCCCTCTGGATTGATTGTGGCCCCAACTAATGTGGCATTGGGATATTGATTCTTTGGAAGTATTTGAATGATATAATAGGGATGTTATATTAATACAAAATAGATTATTTTAAAGATTATTAAGAATGTTTAAAAAATATATTTGATTGATTAAAATAATATATATATATATATATATATATATATATCATTAAATTATCTTTTTTTTTAAATATTAATATAATATTTTTTTTGAATAATTCTTTTAACCCCTTATATTTGATATTTTGCTAAAACACCTTAACACATAAAACTTTAATTTGTAACAAAATCATCTCTATCCACCCCAAGCCATTACTGACAACTAGCCACCACTGTTGGCTGTCGTCAGCAGTCGACAGAGTGGTGGTTTTGAAACAAGGATGAGTCACGCAGGGAGTCCGTCCAAGCTTTAGCAACTAATGCCTCCGCTAACTTCTTGGGGGTGAACAAAGTGTTCTAAGTCTGAGATCGATACTGGTTAACTCCACAAGTGCTCTACCATTGGTCCACACACAGAGTCATCAGGCAAAGTTAGAGCTTGGATTGGGAATGAGATCACAAGAGGCTAGGCTACTAGAGAAGATAGAGACTAGCTGTATATGATCAGCCGTGCACCGGCAAAGCCATTTTTGGTCATGGATCACAAATCGATGGTCATTTCATGGCTAAAGATGTGGCCGTGAAAAGGCTAGATCTTTGGCCATGAAATGACCATAGAAATGACCAGATCTGGCCGTTTTCGATGCACGACTGGCCAGATTTCGTCAATTGTGCACCATTACGGGGACTGACACCGATGGTTGGCGGTGGTCTTGGGTGGTTGGGGGTATTTTGTTGACTTTTAAACTTTTTTGTGGCTTGGGTGTTTTAGCTAATTTCTCAAATGTAGGGAGGTTAGGTAATTGTTATTTGGTAGACATTTGAGGGCAACTGTGTCTGAAATTGTATTTAATTAAGGGCAAAATAGGTATAAAAATCAGATTACCCAGTAATGTTTTAATCCTAGGGGTGGGGGAGGGTATTGGATTACTCCCTATATTACCAATAATAAACACTAGTTGCAATAAAGATAATTTATTACTTGCAAACCAAACACCTGAATCTTGCAAAATAAACGAAGATTACCCCCGTTATCTTATATGTCCCCAATCCAAACACACCCTTTGTGTAAATTTAATCTTTCGCAGCTTCAGTAATAAGGGAGAACTTATGCTGTAATTGGTTTTGTGTTTTACAAAGAGTAAACAACATATTCCCACACGAGGTTCGACAAAATCCCAAATTGGTACCCTAGTTGCATTTATTCCAGATTCTCACCCTTAGGGTGTGTTTGGTTAGTGGTAATAGAATATTACTAAGGTAATGTCATCTTATTTTACTTGATTACCACGTTTGGTTGTCAAGTAATATAAAAGCTGGGTAATCTTCTAATACCAATAGTAGTTACTATTGGTAATATAAGAGGTAATCTGATTACCTCCATTTTCATAGGTATTTTAAGATTACTTAATAATCTTATTTTTATTACAAATTTACTCCTTATTAATAAAATTTGAGGACAATAATGCCCTTGTTTTAAAAACAATTTACAAAAATACTAGTTGACTATTTTATCCTTATATACAAAGTTTTTAGGACATAAATACCCTTAAAATTTAAAAAAAAATTACCAAAGGGTGGTGGTTGGATCTGGCCACCACCGTCAGCCACCGAAAACCACCACCGGCAGTGATAGAATTGCTCAAGACCGGCCGAAAATAGTCAGATTTGGCCTTTCATAGTCACATCTTTGGTCGTGAAACGACCACGGATCTGGCAGTAAAAGGCCATATATTTGGCCGTGAAACGGCTATTGTTTCATAGCCAAATATCTACCCTTTCATGACCAAATCTCCATTGTCGCAACCGCCGCGGTGGTGGCAAGTCGCCGACAGTGGCTTGGGTTGGGTGTGGGTGTTTTTATTAAGTTTTAAACTTTTTTTGTTGGTAAGGTGTTTTAGCTAAATCTGAAATGTAAGGGGTTAAAAGAAATTATTCAAATAATAATAATAAAAATAATATTATATAACATACCTACTAATTTATTCCTCCCAACTAAACATATTAATATAATATATCCACCAATTCATTCCAACCAACCAAACACATTTCCATAAAAATTCTTAGTAATTTTCAAGGTAATCTAACTTTCCATTAATATAACATTTAGAGTGCGTTTGGTTCGGAGAACGTTTTATTGCTGAAAAAGTAAGATTACCACCGAGATAGATTACCTTCGGGGGAATGTTATATCAATATGTTTTGTTAGATTAGTAGGTATAAATAATTAAGATGTTTGGTTAGAAAGAATAAAATATTATCGACAGAGACTTTTACTGAATTACCCTTCCTTTTTAATATAATAATAATAATAATATTATTATTATTATGATGGTTATTATTATTTAAATAAATTCTTTTAACCCCCTATATTTGAGAATTTAGTTAGAACATTATCAACAACAAAGTTTAAATTTTAACAAAATGCCTCCAGCCACCCAAGACCACTGCCAGCCAACGACGTCAATCACCAAAACGATGCATGACCAGCAAGATTAGACTGGCCGTGCGCCGTTTTGGCTATTTTCGGCCAAATCAAAAGCCGAAAATAGCTAGATCAATGTGGATTTGGCCGAAAATGGCCAAATCCACGGCGATCTTGTTGTTTCTAGGCAGATCCACGTTGATTTGGCTATTTTCGACCAGATCAAAGGCCGAAAACAACTAGATCATTGTGGATCTGGTAAAAAACAACCACAAATGGTCGATCTATTTTGGCAGTTTTTGGTTAGATCCAAGGTGATCTGGCCATTTTCGGCCTTCAATCTAGTCAGAAACAGCCAGATCGATGCATGACTAACTAGATCCCACTAGTCATGCTTCAATCAGGTGACTATTGCCAGTGGCCGACGGTGGTCTTTGGTGGCTGGAGGTACTTTGTTAACTTTTAAACTTTTTGTGGCTTGGAGCTTTTAGCTAAATTCTAAAATGTACGGGGTCTGGGCTGATTGTTATTTGGTAGACATTTGAGGGCAATTGTGTTGAGAATGGTATTTAGTTAAGGGAAAAATGGGTATAAAATTAAGATTACCTTGGTAATTTTCAAATACCACCCCTTAAGGAGGTAATCTGATTACCCCCTATTTAACTCACAATACTCACTATTGGTGTTATAAGATTACCGAAATCTTTTATTACTTGACAACTAAACAAGGGAATGTCCATAATTAAAGATAGATTACGAGAGTTATCTTTCTAGAGCCATAACCAAACATACCTTTACAGTAATTCAATATTCCCTGAACCAAACACACTCTAAAAGTGATGGAAAATTGTTTAATATAACAATAAAGGGGTAAATTGGTCATTTTACATGAGGCGACACACGTTAGTAGATCACCACCTCCAACAATGCTTTGACGCATGTTAGCAGCGTCACCCCAATGTTTTTCGCCCTTCTTTTGGCGATTCTTCCACCCAAAATCACCCTTGTCACCACCCTTTGAACCCCCATCCTCCCTTCTACAAAACCTTACTCTTCACAACCCCTCATCACCTGCAGATCGCAGGCCACAACAACTTCATCGTGTGACTGTTTTTAACCAATTTCCAGCCTTTTTGAGCGGCGACAACCACAACCACCACCATTGTTTGACTCCTTGTATCCTCCCTACAAAATCCCTAACCTTTCTGGCCACGGTAGCTCATCATTTGCCAATCACAACAGCTCCAAAAAATGTGATGAACACAAACCTCTCGACAGGTGAACGACAACTAAACGGTTGTTAGGGACATAGGGGTTTTGTAGAGTTGGAGACGCTGGTTGTAGTGGTGGTGCCTAATTGGATTTTTGCCGTTAGAATTCGATGAAGAATAGCGAAACCCTAAACCTAATGGCACTGGCTAGGGGGGGGGGGGGGGTGGGTGGTGGTGGTTTCAATGAGTCAGGAACTAAAGGGGTTTTTGACAATAGACTATGGGGAAGGTAATAGAGGTGACCAGGGGGTTCAACGCCGTCAAAAAAGCCCAGATCGAGCAAAAACCAAGAGGATGCGTAGTCGCCGATGGTGTTATTGAAGTAATTTGAAAAATAAGATGGTTAATTATAATTCTACTAACTTAGGGGTTAATAAGTAATTTATTAATTTACTTGTTAAGGGTATTATGGTAATAGCATCCTCTATAACCTAAAAATTGTTAACAATGTTACTTTAAGGATGGGAATCTGGAATAAATACAACAAGGGGTACCAACTCAGAAATTCACCAGACCTCGGGTGGGAATATGTCGTTTACTCTTTTAAAAAATATTTAAAAGATTGATTTACCTAAAATGAAAACTTATTTGAGATATTATGACTCAAAAAAACATTTGAAAATGTAAAATTGATTATGTGTTTGGTTTGTTCTTGAGAAATTATATTAAATATCCCTATATCAAGGATTGAATTGAAAAGTGCCCCAAAATAAAAAGTCTCTTGCCAAATATATCAAACCCATATTTGTCTTCATTTGGACAAAATTGCCCTTTTCTTCTTCACTTAACATAACACCTCTCTCTCGCTTCACTCAAATTTTTCCACTTATTAAACATTCTCTCACATAATCCAAGCTTAATTTGTTGAAATTTATTGAGTTTTTCGTCCATTAAAAAGCTACAACCCAAGATGTATGTTTTTTATGTTTGAAATCATTTGGTGGATTAGTATATAATTGAAAATTTGTTATGGGTTTGATCTTAAATAGTGTATATAAGCTTGGGTTGGATAACATCTATGCTAGTTATGTTAATTTGTTAGTAGGAATGTATATAAAATAATTGAGGTTGTGAATTTGGAGTAGTTTCAACTTGGGTTTATGTTAGAGGTTAAAGAGCATA